ACTGGATCCATAGACATTGCCCGGGATTAGGACTACTGCATCTGAAGAGGCATTGGCTACTCAGAGACGACGACAAGGACAGTAGAAGCCAGCTGGACTGTAAGTGGAGAAGGAACCTGCGATGGATGAAGTGGCCCCACTGTACTTCTACAAGAGCAAAGCCCCTCATCTACTATTCGCTTGGGCCACTATTCTGCCAAATGTGGAGTGTCGGAGAGTGTCGAACTGGATATTTTATCAACATTGGATATCAGCAACAGTGCGGCGAACCAAGCCAGAAGCTGAGGAAAGCGTCACTCCTTAGGGGGGGCAGTGTGGTGTATCGGGGTGGTAGATTGCCGCCATCTTCGAGCTCAGTCATTGGTTGAAGGTAATCAGCACGGTGTGGTGACGTCGTCATGTGACCGGGGGTGCAACTTCCGGCTGCGCGGCGTCACGCGGGCATTGAATGGCACGCCAGGGACTGAGAACCAATCCGCTCACGAATTTTCCGTCTTCATTGCAGCGCCCCAGAACGGACCAACGGCTGAACAGGACAACCAGGACAAGGAAATATCAAGACCCTGTTTTCCCCCTTACGCCTGACCAGTTTGTGGCTACATTGTGGCTTGTTTCGGCCTTTATTACAGGGCTCCATCTTGCCTTGCCCCCTTCTTGATCATACTTTGGGGTCGAAGCGAACCGTGGCGACGTCTGAGAGCGCAGACACAATGGTATGCGCTGGCATCAGCCAATCCTGTGTCTCTCTGCGTTCCAACGGCATGCGAGGAAGGTAAGCAGCCAACCAAAGAAGGGCACAAAAGAGGTACATTATATAATGAGCTGCGTGACCAGCGTAATGGACTCGATGGACGGCGCCTGACTTGTGGTTCTGACTTCGGACTGGTTAATAAAGCCTGTTCTATTGTACCAGTCCTCTTATAATTAGTACTCGGGTATTCTACAGTAGCGATGCACAGGGGCGCAGACACATTGGACCACGCTGGCCTCAACCAATCAATCTCTTTAAGCCTTTCAACGGACTGCGAGAATGACATGCAGCCAACTAGAGAAAAGGATGAACGTGAAGCACTATTTCATGAGCAGCTTAGCAGCGTGACGGACTTAGATTCACGGTGTATGTCTCATGGATCTGGCTTGTAATTTGCTCATAAAAACTGCTCCGTTGTACCAGTCTCCTTCATTCAATGCCAGGGTATTCTGCATAGTTGACTTATTTAAAAGTAGCTGGACGTGGTTTGTTGGTTTGTGGTTAGTCAACAAAGCACATCTTGTTGTGCTCATCTTCGTCATATTATTGCCCAGGTATTCAATACAAGGGCTCAATAAATGCAGACTTGTTATAATTAAATCGAGCAGGTTGGTAGAATGAAAAAATGTCCATATCAGCCAGGAAGCTTGTGAATAACTTACTCCAAACTAAATATATTTTGGTATCATTTCTGGATATATGTTGCAACAAAAAGCAAAAATATTCACATTTGGGATGAATGGATTTGCTTAAAATCATTAACGGGGAGGTAGTAGTAATTCAACTGTTATTAAATTCTTATTAAATTTTGTCATATTTGCAGATAAGGGGATTTGACTACTTTAAATTACATAAGTAACTAACACAGTGCGCATAAAAACCCAGTATATGTTTCAACTTGTATTCTCTTAAAACAACCGGATTTCGATCATTTTGCCTAAGTTCTGCAGTCTTTTGGTTAAACCTCGATCACGACGTTTTCAAAATCTCCTATTCTCAATTTTGCCTTTTAATATATTACGAGTTTTTACGCATCTAATGTTGTAATGGCCAAATTCCTCGAAATTTCAACAAGACAGAATGAGCTCTTCGCATACGAGCAAGTTTGTGTGCTTTTGTTAGGAGGACGGTGACTCTAAATGCAAGGGTCGATTCTTCGACGATGGTTTCTTCGCTGGTAAATTCACGGCGTTTTCCTGAAAAATTCACGATTTACAAAATAGACGCAAAGAAAGGCTCGTTCCTAACGTGTATTCTAATGTAACTGACGCCAATATAAAGTGTTTGAATTAGCTGGTTTAAGAAACATCCAACCCATTCTTTTATAATTTAAATGAATGTTAGTGGATAAGCCCGTTACTTCTACTTCTCTATTATACCAGTTTAGCTGTCAGATTCGACCCGACGCATACCGCCGACGGTTATAGGCAGTGATTAAGTTGTGGTCAACGAAGTTATTCATTTTTCAATTAAGTGACAAAATATTTTCTGAACATAAACAAAATTACGTCGACAAATATGTAATTAAGTTAATGAAACTGAACTGAGATCACCGCAAATTAATAAAGTCTTGGAATCAAACTTGGTTCATCCTAAATGTTATTTAGTTTCTCTTATGTTCCTGTTTTTTTGTTTATAGCTGCTCCTTTCTTGTCAGTCTTTAACAGCTGGAAATAGGCAAAGTTCTTTACCTGTTTCAATCGACTAGTTTAGTTATCCAACTTAGTCGAAGTTGCATAGAGGTTTTTTAAAATTTGTGAACTTGCAGTGGCTTGCTTTCACTATCTTAAAATCTTAGCAATTAACGGCTCGTAAAAACCCGAAATCAAAGAGATTAAAGGAGGCAGAGGAAACAACAGTCTGTTATCATCACGTCAGCCAAATATATGAGGTGGGAGATTGGTAACAACAACTAATGTAATAGAGATGAGCCATCGACACCATCATATCAATAAACAAGCACCACTTACTCCCGTTCGATGACAGTTCCCTACTTATATCTCTCCCCCCGAGACTGTTAGCTGTGAGGCTCTGCAAACGCTGGAATACTTTCGAACAAAATCAAAGCTAACTGAGGGTCTCAGGGATCGGTCAAAACGGAAGATAGGACAGAATGGGGATGCGGAAAAGGGTTTGGTATGTTCACCGTTGCTTGGGTGTGAGCAATAAACATTGCTGCCACTCTTGTCAGAAACTTACAAATGGTCTTTGCCCACATTATCCAGGGTTCCTTTTCTGCCAATTGTAGAAATATGCCAAGCTATTCGATAACTAAAAGGGAGCCTTCATTAGGTGGTTGTGGAAGCAAATAAAGATATTAAAATATTTGCATTTTAAATTTAGCAGGGAAATGGAATTGAGATCTGGAAGTTAAAATATTACATTTAATTTTTTGTGGAGCGATGTGAAATAGGTACATCTCTAAAATTTAGACTATAATTTGGCCGAATATGTCATAATTCAGAGTCGTTAGACTGCCTGGGAAATCGCATCAGTCACTACGTTGTCAGCAACATCTAAATACCGACAACTGGTAGCGAATTGTGTTACGATCAAGACACCTGGGAAGCTGTTATAATTTGGCTGTAATTAAAACCACACAATCAGATAACCGATGCCCCAGATCCCGTGTCTTACGCTGGCTCCCAAATTTCCACGTTGACGTAAGGCAAGACAAGACCTTGTGCGGAGAGTGTATAATGTCGCAGCCAAAGCCTGAGTTATCTCCCGGAGTGTGCCCACTTAAACAAGTCAAGGATGATACTGACCCGATGGATCATGGCAGATTAACACAGATGGGGCAATCAGGAGGGCGCGGTGGGTGACTCACCCACGGAAGCGGCGTGGTTAAGGGGATTGTCAAAGCAATAACGAAATAATAACCCGTGATTGCCGTATTGAGGAATCCTGAATCCCAAACAAAACCATCCGTTTGTAAGACAGGTTTCGCTTCCTTCTTCCAGTATTACAATTTTTCGACATCTGCTGTGGCGCTCTTTGTCAATTGAAAAGCCTCCTGTGTTAGCATTAATTTCCTGGAGTTTATTTGGAGCATGTTAGTCAATAGAGACAAAATATCAAATGAATTCGAGATAAATTGTAAATAGTACTCGACCAAATAGAGAAAGCAACACAGATGACAAGGCAACTCTGGAATTTAATACTTGTATTTCTCCGCTGTCTTCTCGGGAAGGTGATTGGCACTGTTGGCATCATCGATGTCGTCCATGACGCGAGACACTTTTCACTTAAGATGTGCATTTATGAGGGTTTATTGCGATGCTAAAAGCCCTACGATGGATGGAAAGCTGTCAAATGTGCTGCAAATGTTCGGCGTTTTCTGTGCTGGTGATGAGATTGTCACCGATATAGACGACGGCGAAATCAAGGTATTGGTCCATGAGTCTCTGGAAAGTCTGAGGTGCTTACTTTAACGCAAAAGCATTTGAAGGAACTTAAGTAACTCGAATAGAGTAATAACATCAGTTTTGAGGACGTCTTCTGGTGCAGCAGTTATCAGAAAATAAGCCCAGACGAGTTCTGGTCCAGAAGGGGATTTGATTCTCATTTAAACCCTTTGAAAGTCATGAACTGTGACACTGCTTTTGACTCTGTAGTCTACGCATGGTCTCCACTCTCCTGATTTATTAAGGGCCATATTTACAAGGACCATCCAATGGCTGTTGGAATTGCACTTTACTCCAAGGCGGCATATGTGCTCAAATTCTGTTTTGGATGCTCCAAGTTTATCAGATGCAAGTCGTCTGGCTTTAGCTATTGTTGGCAGACCTTTTGTTCCTCTTTGTTGCATCACCTGGTGGGTGGCTGCTCAGGGAACATAGATCACATCGGGCATTTCGGAAAGTCCTCAGCGGAATATGATTTAATGAGCACGCGTTGTACCGCATCAACTAGGAGACATACCTGAGAATGGAATTTCAGCACATCGGCCATCGTGGAAATCAAGGGAAACTGTCGCCTTTAACCTAAAGCTATGGTAAGCAAATTTTTACTATTTTTCGCAACAGGTGAGTTGTTTACAGTTCGTTATTTCAGATCGAATGGTTTCACGTGGCGTTTGTTAGACCCTAAGGGAATTACGGTAACCTCGTCACCCTTGTCAATCAGTGACATGAATAAAGTGAAAGGATTGAGTGTCTGAGCCTGCCATCGTCACTACTAGTCAATTGTGGCGATTCCTAAATGTGCATTTGAAAGGCCTGAAGATTTGATGGTGACTACACGGATTTATATAGGCCAATACCTTGTCGCCATATCGAAGGTGGTACCAGCATGGGTCGGAACGTCTTCCATTTTGACTGGATCGGCATCAACATGAAGTGGTGGAAGTGGCGGCCGTCCACGAGTAAACTCATCCATCCTTCGTGAGATATTCGCGACTAGTTCTTGCAACCCATTACTTCCTACGCTAGCCGTTACCTCAGACGGGGTGGTTTGATTTAATCTTCCTTGGAAGAGAGAAGTATGCTTGACCTCGGGTCCGACCAAATAGTTTCCTAATAATCTGCTGTTTACCTAACTCACGAAAAATTGGGGATTTATAGAAGATTCACATGTCACGACCTCCTGGCCTGTCCCTTCTCCCCATGTATTCCCCTGTGACTCCGACTTTCTCCCTCCCTCGAAACTGAGACATCGAGCAGGCCCCAGGACGCACTGCGTGCTCAAAGCGCGTGAACTCCACACTGTCCACACAAAGATTCCACCTTCGGCCAACTTGCATTCTCAGTTCTGCCTGACTGCCTGCATAGTTTTTGGTTTTTTTGTAATATACTAGGTCCCCGATATTCCGGTCCCTGTGTCGTGTGACCTATATCAACAAGGATGGTGGGGCTATCTTTAAAGGACTCGTTAACAATCCAAATGTAATGGGTTGTCAATAAAAGCACGTGAGAGAAGCAAGTTTGCGGTTTGACAAATTTCAATGACACCCTTTTGTTTAATGGTTTCTGTTGATTATCAATAAGTACTCTCACGTCCCTGAACCCAAATACACGCTTGGTTGTTCTGGTGCTAATAAACGGTTGTATTCGCTGTCGCCCCTCACGTCTCAATTGAAATGGGCTGCTAAGCAGAAGGTTGTAAAGAAGTCCAATAAACCACGATGCCCATTCCCTCCAGATCGCTACTAGGTAGTCAAATTACACACAACTCATAGTCTAGATTTACTCTATTCCAAGATTTCAGTTTAATAAGGTAGTTGCTTATGTGTGTGTTTTCTCTGGCCCAGTACTTACCTAATGACCGTGTAAAACAGGTGACCCCAAAGATGCAGGTAATCGTGGCAGAACAGTGCAGTTCCAAATTTCTCAAAGTAACTAAAGAGAAATCTGATTCTAAGCCATTTCATTTGGAGTAAATCAAACTCGAATAGCCAACTTCCATTTAATTGTGTCCGAAAGCTTTTCACTTGCTTTGCTGAGTTTGCATTTCAAATCAACCGTGAGAAGGGTCCATATGCAAACTTATCGAAGATGGTAGGTGGATCCTCATGTGTTTGGGAAGTGTAGCTGCCTGTCTAAGAGTCCATCGGGTGTTAGTAATTAATATTCTTCGGAAGTGGGCAATTAACCATATTGCACTCAAATCGAGTTTTGCGACCTCTATTATTACCTGATGTAAGTCAAGAATTTTAAAGAAAAAACTCGTTGAAAATCATTCAGAAAATGGTCCACACTTACTATTGTTTATTAAATCCTCCTTTTTTTTCAAAACAACTAACACTCGGTAGACCAATCCAATATTTATGACATTGGAGAAGTTCATGCGACATTTGCGATAACTTGGGCTCAGTAATAGTAATTTCCGATACTTGGCTCCCTTGAACTTGACATGTTTATATTTACATACATTCTTATGCGTTTTTTGGCATTTTCTATGCTTTTTCATTTCACAAAAAACAGAATAAATTGACGTCTTTGCTTTAAACACAGTATTGAGAGACTCATAAATGATTCGCACAAGATCGACCACATCGTAGATGAAGTTTTACAACGAATTAGAATTGAAATTAACTCAGATATTTAAAGTACTATCTATCCCGAAGATTTTTTTCTTGCGACGGTATCTATTGTCACCAAAATACTTCGAATTTAAAAAAATGGCCCCTCACTGAATGCGAAGAGGTTACAACTAGCTAATTTATGAACACAATGCATTTACAGGGTTATAAGGTTTTTGGCAAGGTACATGCACCAATTTGAGGTAGTCCGGAATCATACAATGGCACACATTTGACCTATACAGTGCACTTCAACCTTCACGACCATACACATTCACTAAACCTACTAAGATCGTGCCTATATTCCTACTGCATGCTAAGTTGTTGCCTGACTTACATGAATTTGCCGCACTGAAATGTAAACTGCGGTCTTTCTGTAAGTGCAACACAGTGGCTCTGGGGGGATGGGAAACGCAGCCTCTCCCCCACCCTCTGAAAAACGTCTCATAATGTCATTTATTTGTGCGAATTAAGGACACAAAGAAGAGGTTATTGTACACTTTACTCTCTAGTATGAGTTACGCCAAGACACGGAAACAGACACAACAAGAACATAGTCACAGCGCAAATATCTTCTTCCAAAAAGTCGTATGAGCAGGCTAGTTTTGGAAACCGAAATGGTCAACACAATTAATCAAAAATGTTGTCGTGAGCCCCAGCATGTGGCTTGAACTACGCCGGGGCCACAGAATTAACCCTGGCCCGATTACACTACCCTGATACCAACGATGAAGAAGATTGGAGAAGTGGACACAACCGAGAGACCTAAATGTGAGGATAATCCAAATATTCGTGTGAATGAGAAGGAAGTTGAGGATCCGCGAGGCTGGTGACATGATGCGAGAAGGGGAACCCTGTGTCGGAAGTGGATCGACTGAATTAAGGGGTGTGAATAAACACAATTCACAACAATGTCCGTAAGACAATTAAGAATACTAGCTTTTAATATACATTCAGTGAATAACTGGAGAGACGATATTGCGGAGTAGGGATTTGTACAGTTTAACGCGATTCGCATTGTGCTGCAGAAGAATTGGCAAAATTTTTTCAGTGTACGGGTCGCCATTTAGCTCGGGCAGATTGGTGGGATCGAATTCAAAGTGAGCCCCACTAAGCAGCACTTTGCCTTGTCCACAATTTCGAAGTAATATGGCTGGGGTATTCAGTTCTCCACTGGAAAATAAGAACAAAGGCTGGCGAATTCTACGTCTTTGGACAACTGGCTAAGTGACAACATGATACTTACTTCAAATGGGTGAATAAATTGAGTGGCATCATAGACAGTACATTTACACAGACAAAAACGCACAATTATAGCTAACAAAAAATGCCCTACATAAAACACAGTGCTAAGGGCGTTTGTTCAAAGTCTAACTTACTATTTATAAAGAACTGTTGTTTGTGAATCTGATGATCCAAGAAAATGGCATCCACCATTGAAATACACCGAAACAGACGATGGTAGACCAATGTTGTCTGAGACGGAAGCAGTCAATAAAGCCGCAGAACTTCCTAATTCAGAGTCATATTCATAAGGAGCAAAGAGTGGTCCCTCCGCCGTGCCTAATGCAAAGGTTACATTTCACAAACTTTAAAGTAAATTAAAATAGACTGCCTTTCCGAAATGGGCATTGGTAAAACTTATGTAAGTACAGGCCTATTATTACAAAGGAAAGTGGACGGTAAGACCTATGAATAACACTTATTAGGTATGAAATGATTATTAGATAGCATACATGTTTACTTAAGACTTGATTTTGATGCAATTACTAATTGGTTTAAGGCGAAAAAAATTAGGAGTAAGCAGCAAAATAAAATCAGACCTTCTCAGTGCCTTATGACCAAAAAGTGTGAAGGGTATAGAACACGGCAATAGTCAGAGTTCGGAATGACAACTGACCTGGGAAAAAGTTCAGAAATCCCTCATCGAAAATTTCATTCGGTCCGCCAATATCGAACCTAGTAAGGGCTGATGCGAGATACGCACCAGAGCATATACCTAGATATGCCCCACCAGATAAAATAAACTTTTTTAACTCCTTAAGGCCCACTGTACCCATCGTCTTCGCAACTCCACGAGCAAAACCTCCACCCACACAAAATAGGTCGATCGTATTAGTCAAGAGGGAATTAAGAGACTCCTTTGCACTTAAAATCGAAATCGTGGCATCTGGGAATGTATTTTGAATACAATTACGAAGTTGTTTAGTGCAAAGATTAGACGCGCCAAAATCACCGTAAATCCCAATGGACAGCCGCCGGCTTCTCAGAACGTGGACCTAAAAAGCAGGTTACTGTCAGCATGTATTTCAAAATTGGCAACACGACCGAAGTCAGTTACCAGAAATGCAACAAAAGAAAAGGAACAAGATGGACCTGGTGCATGGCAGACAGCCGGATTAAAAGACAGGAAGGCTGGTGCATTAGGAGAATTAGCGTCAAACCAAGAAAAAATGGCTGTAAGAGGGGTCAGAGTTTATCCACAGGTCTACAGACGTAATTTAAAAAGAGAATATAGATTAAAGAAGGTGCGATGACTAAGTGATATAGGGTACAAAGGACAGAACAATGCCGTATGCCACACACACAATTACGAAGAAATAACCTGACCTTTCGAGATAAAATTTAGCCCAATAAAACAGATAAAAGACTTTGTGAAAGGACTACCAAACTGCTTAGTTGTTGCTGCGTGTATATTTAAAAAAATTAGCTTTTATTTATACTAGTGATTTAATTGCATCGAAGTTCGATTATAGAAGTATCATAAAATGGGGAAATAATCTTTCCGATTTGAACTGATGAAAGCAAGAGTTATTTCTTGGTATCAAGTGACTTAAAGACATTTGTAGCATTCGTCACACAAACACCATAAAAAATTTGGAAAGATGTCAAAATATTCCCTTTTTTAGTGCAAAGTCAAAATCTCCTAAGGTTGTTGGAAAATGATGGAAATTATGAGCATCCACACGTCATAAAAAGATAATGAAAAAGCGTTAGAGAAATTTTTAATGCATACTACAGGATAGTTGTGTAAATATTTTTAGCTTTTGAGCTAAAAATGAGCTTTTTTTAATTGTGTAGTCGTCGTAAGACTGCAAGCAATCACAATCATCGATTTCACATTCAAATGAAGTCCAAATATGCATACTTGAAAATTGTTACCTTTGGTGATATAAAAGATTTGCGTACTTGCCAAAAAATGGGCAGCTTTTTTAAAAGTATATTTATTAAAATTCAATTTGTTCAAATAAATGTGGCATATTTTTCGTCAATTTAAAATTGAAATCCAATATTTCTAAGCCTTTCCTTTAGCATCATATTCCCACTGTATATGTAAATCGTTGTCACCATTAAAATCACGCTATCATCGTATATTATTATTATTATTAATTACACTTTGCGGTTGGAAAAAGCTCATGAGTATTGCATTCAGGTTATATTTTCGATGTAAACGGAAGCTAAATTCTCGGGGTGATTAATTTAGCCTTTTTGACTGTGTTGTATTTTAGATCCAACGATGAGGCAGAGCATACCTTCACAGTAAAAAAATTAATGGGGAGAACCTTTATAATGATGTGCAATGCAACTAAAGTGTGCAAACAACGACTGTTGACAATGATTTCAGTTACTAGTCATAAACGCATATGTCAATTTATTAAAAAGTGAATCTGGAGTATTTTTGATCATGTAAGCACTATTACAAGTAACGGAAGTAACGTTAATAAGCATCTGAAGCTAAAAAATTTTTTGTATATTTAGCCAATTTTCAGTAGCACTAAGCAAGAATTACATGTTTAATAAGTAAAAGACCAAGAAATGCCTACTGCTTTACAGCTAATTAATTTCTGAAGTATTCATGAATCTTGCTTTTGTTATACTTCATTTTCATGGCGTATCCAAACTTACTTCATCATTTTAGTAAGAGAGTTTATTTACATGGAATTTGATGAATGCAATAAAATTTTAAACGAAACATGAACAAAATAAAAATGTGGTCTATTTGAATAGGCCAGAAATTCTCTTTTTACGTTTTTTGAAAATTTCCCAAGATTCGTTTGCTTAAACCAAAAATATTTGGAAAACACTTTTTGTTCCTATGATGGTCCATATCTTAGGCACAAAGTCATCGCAAAAGTCTTTCTTAATTTTTAATCTGCAAATATTTACAGTGTTAAAAATTTTCTTAGTGCGTCAGGTAAATAACGCGAGAACCCTTAAAAAGTCTTGTATTATTAAATTGGCTTTTAGACAAATTGTACTGTTTAAACTGACTTTAGAGAATTTAAAAGTATAAATTTATATTCATGCATCTGGTCAGCAATACGTGACCGTGTTTTTTTGGTAAAAAAGTGAAGTTTTTGGTAAATTTGAATCATGATAGCAGACACGATGTTCAACCATTTTAAAATTCTATCATATATGCTTTAAGGCTGAAAAATTAGCAGAACATTAAAAACATAAATTGTTAATAGAAAATTAAAATTTTTTTAATGCAGTGCTGTTATTTATTGGCAATTCATTTTTGTTAATTGCTCTCTCTGTTCTGCTTCATAATCTTTATCGACCTTGACATGTTTTCAAATTTGTTTTTGAGGTTTTTGCTGGTTTATTGTCGTGTTAAACGATGAAGCGGATAAATCGTTCAAAGTCCCAGAGTGTAGCAAAATTTAATGTGTGTATTAATAAAGAGAATTTTGGGGATTGTATAATTGTAAAATCGTATTTTTTAGCAAATGACAATTTTTATAGAAACTGGAAGATATTTCAATTGTTTTAGATGCTGGGAAATTTAAAAAACAAATTAATGCATTCGACGTAACACAAATACTTTCAAAAAGACAAAAGGTACGTTTGACGCTTCTGACCTATTCTATTTAGTTAACTTTTCGTGTTTCTGATGGCTCTGTAATAACAATTGTGGAACCGATCAAGGATACAGCTCGACTTCAAATTAAAGACATTATGATTCAGTTGTCTAACTTATGGGAAAATTATTTTCCTTGCTATAACTTCAGGTTAGTTTGAGTGTGTTTGTAATTCTTCAGTTGTGAATCTGTTGATACAAAAGTTGAAGATATGTTTGATCTTTTATCATGCGAGAACGAGATCCAAGAGACGGATAGACAACTGGCAGTCCAAAAAAGCGTTAGGTACTCAAAAGCTCTAGGACTCAAGTCGCCTGACAAAGACATGCGCGAAGATGTAAATAAATGTACTATATTGATATTTTTAGATCTTAAAAAAATTGAAGCATGAAGAACACAGGGTACTGCGAATTTCTGAATTTGAATGTGAATTTCCGGAAAGCGTGCTATGTTCATCTGTAGCACCCCTACTTTCCACACCATTTTTTACTGTGTTTGACTTGACTGATGATAAATGTGTAAGTGTGGTTCACTATAATTTGTTCACAAATAACAAAATATGATGTTTAAATGAGTTGACATTATTCTTTTATAAGCATCTTTGGAAAATTAAATTACTACATCAGAGATGGCACTTTGGAAACATGTTTGGTTCATTTAAGATACATTATACAAAACAACATGTTCCATCAAGGTTTAAGGCCATTTCTGGACAAAATGTGGTTTTCCTATCCACTGCTTAGCATCAAAACTAAATCATTTTTCTTATTTGCAATGCATTTTTTCAATTTTTTTCTACTTTTAAATTTTTATTAATATTTGTAAAGCATTTTTTCTATGTGATCTCATCTTTTTACAGTGATAGTTTTGTTTGCAAAAAATTTAAATACACACATTTTGAATGTTGGAGAAAGCCTGAATGAAGCAGTATTTAGAAGTTAAAACAGATCACTAAATATATGCTATTAAAATTTGGTCATATCTCAGTCTTAAGACTAGCAATCAGGTAATCACAACCGATCTATTTACCTTTTTAAATGGTTTACTTTTCAGGGCAAAGAATACATTCATTTGTGTTCAATTGGTTTGAGAACCAACAAGGCACTCCGAGCGCTTATATTGAAGGGTTGTCAGATAGAAAGGTAACAGTGCTGAGTATAAATTGTTATTGTTAAATTGCAAATTAGCAGCCGCTAATTTTAAGAACGAATCAAAAGCATTCTTTTTCTAGCAGTTGTAACATAAAGTGTAAAAGTATGTGATCCATTTAGTTAGGTTGTGGATGCTTCATACAACGTGAATTACTGAATTTTCATTCCAAAATTTCCTCAATAAAAAGTAGAAGAATCAATGTGAGTATTTTCAAAGGTACACCAATTTGGGTCGTAGAATGGAAAATGGTATTTTTGCAATGATCGTGGATGCTTACGCTTTAGTCTGTAAAAATTGTATTTTTTTATTGTAAATGTCTTATATTCTGTGCCCCGAATTCGCGGTTACTCAATTATTGTTTCACTTCTTCGAAACTAACCACATTTGACGAGAGATTCCTTTGCATCCTTTATGCATTCAAATTGGTTGGTCACTAAGAAAGAATATATTGGAACCCACTAGATTTATTTACTTCAGGTATGACTTAAAGACAAGCATATCAGTTTTGTTCATATGTAATGGAACATCTTGTCACTGTCCTTGTAGTGCTAATAATTTTGTATTCTGAATGTAGTTTACTGTGCATTCTTTTGTCTTTTAACACAAAATTTAACAGATGATTCTATGTCTACTTCCTTCCACCGTCTTAATCATGAGGAAGTGCTGATTCTTTTCTGAATAAAACTGCCAAATTCTTGAATAAAAATTACCAATGCTTTCCGTTTTTAGCGATAAACTTTATTCACTACTTGCGAGTTTCCCTGGCTCTTCCAAGCTTCGTAAATTAGACCTGACATCTGCTTTGTCTACCTCTGCCAAGGATCGAAACTTCAAAGCGATTTTCTTGGCACTGCACCCACAAGTCTGTAATCAGTTGACTGACCTGCGTTTAGGAGCCCTTCGTATCGACGACAGCACTTTCAGGGAAATTATCAAAAAGATCAATGCAATAAGTACGGAGAAGTTGCAGTTACGCAGGATCAACCTAGATGGAAATCAGTTTCAAAAAAAGGTTATTTGTCTTCGCAATACTAACGCTCATGGCTTGGTACAATAGGCCAGAATTGACAGGTTGCAATTGATCATTCATATTTATGTGGCTTTAAATACGTTTACTACTTGTATTTGTAAAATCATGCGTATGGTTTTGATTTTGCTAAAAATACTCGAATGCAGACGATACAAGTGAGGAGGTCATTTGTGAATCTTGACTGTCTGCTATAAGTTGGTATTCATCAATATTCTACTGTTTCAAATATTCTTTTCTACATGTTACCAAAAACATAGGTCGTGGGTACATGCAAGTGGTAAAATGATCCTTAGTAAAATTGATGGAAGATACTGCAGACGTTGAGGTAATTAACAATGTTCACTGATGTTTCATTTGCGAAAATTCCTCAGTGTCTTGTGTGTTTTTGCTATCTCCCAATAGGTTTGCATTAGTTAATGGTTTTGCATGAATTTTGATATCAAAAACTCAGAGATCTTTTAAAATACAGTTATCCTGTCAAGCCTGCTGGTTAGATTTGATATTCTTTATTGAGTTTAAAAGTCGCGTCCTTATATCTCCACAACCATAGTGCATCTAGTTCCCAAAATGACTTCTTCAAAACAGGAAAGTAAAAATGACTTTGTTCATTTCAAGACGTTGCAAGAATTCCTTTCGATGACACCAAATCTTCGCGTGCTTACATTGGATGGTTGCCAAGTGGATATTGCTGAAGTAAGTCTTGGGTGTTTTAATTTTTATGCAGTCTGGATGTGGCCTGTCTGAGTTTATTGTGTAAATGACAAATTTGATTGACAACAAGATCTCAATCGCTTCTTCAGCGGAAAACGTCACTGCCACTGCTATAGTATTTGCTGCATCGAAGGGTTTAATGGTCTTTTAGTCGAAAAGCTATAAGCAATGTATTGAATTGTGAAACTTGGAGATAAAACCTTTTTTTACGTGGTCTTTGCGAGAATTCGCAACGATATACATTTTTCTGAAGCATTTTTTGAAAAATAAAGGCTACAAGATCTGTTTCCTCTTGGCTGCTGCGTCAGTGAATGTCTTGGACAAATAAAAACTGTTTGTAGGATTAGTCTCTGACAAATTATGCTATTTTGATGCATTTGAAGGCTTGCGATGCACTCTATAAATCGAATTGCACTCGCCTGGAGAAGTTAGGTTTGTCCTCAAACAAGTTCGAGACCAGTGCTGAGGTTGTACGAGATTACTTCGCATCGTTGAAGTTCCTTCAGCTGCTCAACTTGCAGGATTCGGTCGGAGACGCTGCAGTCGACGTACTGAAGGTAAGCATTTAATGTACTTACCATACGATGACCCTCATTTTTCGTTTGAACAGAGGGATTATTAATAAAGCACCAGATAAACTGTCCTTTCCATCAACCAATGTTTATTAATCTCAGAAAACGCTGATAGTTGAGGCAGGAAAGCACGAGTAGCAATTCACTGCAGATTTAAAAAATCTGCTAATTTTTTCCAGACTTGGACTCTCAGTGGGACATTTCAGGCATCTGCACTGTCTTTTGTGCCATCGATTGTCCATGTATAAAAAGATTAAACCATTAGTTATTTCCACCCCTGTAATATGCACAGGAGTCTTTTTAGACACCAAACTATGATTGCAATCAGGGGGAACCACAGATCATGATGGGATAATGAGAAAACCGTAGTATTCTTGCACGGTGTTGGTTCACAAACAAGTCAATAAATGTTTTAGTAGACTTAACGACTATAAAACACATTTTTAGTTAACCATGGTGGGTTTTGGCAGCATCACACACATTTCGTTGTGTCAATACTTATTTCCAGACTTCCCATGGCGTGTAAGCAAATTTAAAATTAGCAAAAGGCCTGGCGATTTGAACTTTCAAAGTGTTTGCGTTAAATTCGATGTCTGGTGAGATGTCTTCCACGATTTAAAGCGGTAATAATTAATGAGGTGGAATTCTTGCGGTCTTGACTCTTTACCAAGCCAGATATGGTAATTGTGGGTTACATTCTCTTTGACATTAAGTGAAGGCTTTCTAATCAATTAGGTCACGGAAATATGCCTGCGTAAAGACGTAGCGCGCTAAGCCAACAGATGCACAAAGTTCCTTGTGGAGCTCATTACGTGTGCCAAAAAAATTTCATTCGCAGGTAACTGAGATGGACGTTTCATACTTCACCTCGGAGTTTTCGGAGTTTATTAGTCACATGGTTTTGGTTAACCGTGTTTGCTTTAATTCACAGCTGTTCAAATTAAATTATTCCAGAAGAGTAACCTAAATGCGTTTTTATGCAGTGCAGAAGTATTCAAAGAATGACGTTTTAGGGCCATTTAAAAGGGACACCATAAATATCTTACAAAAAACAGCGTGAAAAACAAAGTGCCAAGCGCCATGTTGATGGAGTATGTTCCAGTTGGCCTTATTTTCATGAAATCGGTTATGATATTTAATGTGCACCCTGGACTGTCAAAGTTTAGGCGCCATCTCAACTCAATCAAGTAAAAAACGAGCAGCGTATTTTTCATAAAATGATATCTGCAACTACACAATGAGCGTCACCCCCGTTTTTGAAAGTCCTGATTTCAAGAACTGGACATATCTTAAATAGTAGTGTGTGATGGCTCGCTCCTTGACATCTTCAACTTCCAAGAAAGCCTAGACACTACTGTAATTGAGGCCGAAAACAGAGTGTAGATGATTGGAATGCTAAAAGACGCCGCTACACAGAAACTTTCCGATATTTTTACACACCTTTAAAACGATTGACTTGGTGTTTTGTGGGGTGCTAAATAGTGTTGTTTTTCTTGCAAATTTTGTCACTGGCATGAAAAATCTAGCACACCTAGAGCAGAAGTCCCTTTTTGTGGTTACACACACGAGAATAATGGAAAATTGCTAATTACACAGGCTTATTTCAGGATCTTCAAGTGCCTACCTAAGAGGAACCGCCAAAAATACTACACATGGTTGCCACCTCGCCTCAGAATATGAAGCCACAAGACATGCGTCGACGATTGGGTGGCTCATGTGTGATTTAATGTTCCAGGGTCTAAAATAAGTTGTGGTGTGCCTTTTCGTCGCTAACTTTGGAGTGAGCCAGAACAATTTATTCACGTCTAGTGTTGTACTTCAGTAGAAACTGAAACAGGCAGCAATTAGCACTGATTATTAATGTCGCTGGCATTTAAAATGTCGTGGGTTTAAGTCTAGTCTTTTACCTGCCACCTTCATTGGGTATTTCCTCACCATAAATTAAGCACGACGAGCAATTCTAAGAAGCACCAATAAGGATGAAAGCTCAAATCGCCATCTAATTGAAATGATTTTTGAGTTAAATCATGTTTCCAACACTAAATATGGTCTTAAATATAATGTCTGCACTCAAGCTTGTACAATCCACTCTTGGTTTTGCTTTCCCTGTAACCACTTTTCCAAATTGGAGGTCGTCTAAATGTGGTAGCAAATAAGTATGTAACTTACCCTATTCAAGCAAATATGAAACACTTTTAATCACGAGCTTTTAATTAATTTACCTTGCATTCTACTTTTAGATGATTTTTGAAGGACTTGCGCTCGTGAAAGGTCCGGTTTATGACCAACTCAGACTAAACCTACAAGACTGCAGACTGGGCCCAGAAGCTGGGAGCTTGATCGCGAGACAATTACCCGAACTGAGCCAAGTGACGCAGATCACTCTCTCCGACAATCGTGAGTTTGCTTTTTTGCATTTTTTAAGGTGCAAGCATTACTATTTAAATTTTTTGGAACATTAACTGTCAAATGTTGTTTGGTGCTAGAAATACCGGTTGTTTAGGCCAGGCAACACGCAGGGTCAAACAAGTGTCTATTCATCAATAAAAGGCAACTAAAATTTGCTGATGTAAAATACTGTTTTGTGTAGGAAGCATTGTTAAACTACCCTAATTATTTTGGCACACGTTTCGAAATTTAGACATGGTAACTTGAGGCCGCTTTGATCATTGTTGTGCTTAGATACCTTAGTGCACAACTGTCAGGGTTGTTGTGGGCTTGTATAAAACAGCGAGAAACCAAGCGCCAAGAAACGATACATCTGGCGATCAAAATAACTGTATGTACGATACAATTTGAGGCTCAGGTACCAACTTTCATCCGTGATTTTGAGGATGGGAGAAGTCAATTTTATGCGTCCTTGAGGGCCTTTTGATTCACCTAAGGGCATTAGCCATCTGTGCACGGCAAATTCTGCTAGCACGTATTTGCAACATTTTAATCACTTGTTTAAGTTTGCGGGACGTTTTATCAGTTGGAGTGTGTCTCGAAGATACAACGATTGTGGATACGCCAGGTTGTCACACACACAAGCATATCCTACTAATGTGCTCATGCGATTTCTTTAATGAGTTCGCCTTAACACGCACACTCCACCTGATCGATAACGCGCACAAATGAGTACCGTGAAACGCCGCGTGGGACCTCAGCCACGCCCTTTGGGATGAAGACAACAAGTCGTGTGGGTGCTGTCGTAGGCCTTGCCTTCCGCGGTAAAACATCGCAGTACTTCTAGAAGACCTTGGTCTTTATTTTGCTAACAAACCTGTAATTAGGTGATCCATTCATATGGTTCATATTTGCTGCCGTTCAGTATTTTCCAGGAACTGTAATAGAACCCTCTATGACAATAGGATTCTTTCCTAATCTGAATGGTAAATTGTTGTGGGGAAAGAAAGGAAAAGATCAAGGCAGATGTGCATTTTAGCCACGCACTATGTCGATTTGTCAGTTCATTGTATTTTTCGTTAGTTCTGATATCTTCTTTATGACTCATCTCAAAAATACGACGGCTGCAGCAACCATTTGTGTCATTAATTTGGTTGATTGGGAGTAACTGGAGGTGTATTGTTGTGAGATTCCATCCACAAGAATTTTTTAAATCTAATTTATTGTTTTGAACTAAATTTTAACATTTTACCTGAAATGGGGACTCTGAAAACATAAATGCTTGTTGAACAAACGTGCACTACGTAAAAACAATTTCAAATAGGCATTAGTAGTTAAAAAGCTACACAAATTGACAGGACTGAATTTGAGAAACACAAGTCAGCAGCCAGTTGCTGATCACGGGCTAAAATTATGGGGAGAGGTATCCGAATCTGAGGCATTTGGTAATACACATTCTTTGTATATGTAAATGAACCTTAAATTAATTTTATGTTCACGGAATCCAAAGATAATTAGGTAATCCCCTCATTCCCATGACCTTAACCTTGTTGCGTTAAAATGAGAAAACACAATAGTGGCGTTATATGATAGCAGATGCAATTAATACTAAACCTTAAAAAATGATCAACAATTTTAGGTTTATGCTTTTACCGCAAATGTGATATGATAGTATTTTATGAATCCAGACTTAAAAATCCAATTTTCGTCATTTTCAAAAGTTAAAATCACTCAGTGTAACTAAATGGAACTAGATATTTAACTGGATGTGTTACGAATCCCGCAGGCGGTACACGCATGGGGAGAATGTCATTTCAAATCGTCACAACTCTGGATCATTCTCCAGAACTGAAGTCATGGTCAAATTCCTAAACTATACTGATGTTAGTTGATCGTTCATCGATCTTGGCAAGACAAAGTGCGTATTGAGGGAAGTTTTACGTTAATTGCAGGAGATCATTTCCAGGGAGATAGGGGTTTGTCTCACAGAAATGTGCTTACATTCAGGTGCTGGGTGTACGCAAACACCCAAGGTTGACTAAACAGTAGTATTGCTGTCTTTGTTAATGTAGAGACAAAGTTAAACCATGAAATGTGAGGTATCGGCAGAGACATTCCTAACAATAAACAAGTCACTGATGCCGCTATTTTCTGTGCAAACGCGACTCACAACGAGCCATGAGGAAGTGCTGAAAAGTGTATCAACTACCACTTCTCATTAATTACCCTGAAGGAGAAATTCTGCGTGCTAATATTTAGAGTAATAGGCGTGTGCGTTTTAAACATAACATTTGGGTCATTGCCTCGTGTTACTCGTTTCCAGCCCTGCTATCGCCCTGGTTTCTAAAAGCCAATCTCACTTCGCCCTGTTACCCTAGTGTTTTAGTGAATTTGTTTAATCAGTCACATCCGTCTCGTCCACGTTGTGCAGCCTCGTGATTTTCTTCTCTTTAGCCTTCGAAAGATCCATTTTCGAAATCATCAAGTGCTTGCCTAAGTGCCAGCGGCTTGTCCACATCGCTTTGGGCTCCAGAGACAAGTCATCGTAAGTAAATCTGCTTTTCAGTTGGCCCGTCTAGCAAAGTCCTTGTCCGAGATCCTGCCCAAATGCACAACTTAATCGTGAAAAGAGAGTCGCATTATATTTTTCAAAGTTGACCTAAAGTAGATATGTATTGTAATCTCGTCAGTGCCACAGGTTAACTACTAGGCGTTCATAGCCTCGACGGTAATTTCAAAAAGATCGCTATTCACCACAATTTCCTTTTAATATTGTTCCTTACCTCGTTAACCTTGCGAATTTTATCTTATTTTCTGACGTAGCTATGATTTTACATGTTGGGAATTTAAAGCAACTAAATTTGCGCCAGCAACAATGAACTTTTATCCCGATGTTAAACTCGTCTCAACCAGTCAGCATTAAGCTAAATTTATGTCGTGACACTCAAAAGGAGCTCTAATAAGTTAGTCTACAGTTCGTTAAGCTAGACTACTTTTATGGTGTTTAGTAACATTCTTTTGGCCTTATTTTGCAGTGCAACAGCGCCAGATAGAACTTTAGACCTTCTAGCCCAAACACTTTCGGAGCCTGCGTGTGTAAGTTTTGACACTGAGGTAAAGAGAGGGCAACACCACGAAGAATGGATGACCTCTATATTTAACTTCCCACAAATGTTTAATTCAAGCAGTGCATGGCACAAAGGTTATGCGTAAACACTTCAACAGTTGCAACTCAGCAGGAGACTGGATGACTTTTAAATCCTCTAACGTGTTTAAGCAGAATTAGTCAGGAGATTAAATGCAAACAAATGCTTTCTTTTTACTACTCCTTCAGTCAGCTCTCAGTTTTCGAGAAACAGTTAAGTTTTAACTAGTGATTAAAATTGAGTCTACAGAATTGACTTTAAGACCCTAGGCCGATGGCAGATTTGTTCACCGACAGTGATATATTGTTTTGTCATGCTTTGTCTGTCCCTTTACTGATAAAGTGTTCTGCAGTAAGTAATAGAGGAGAGTTGGACTGGTTTAATTTGAACCTTCGTTGGACTAACCTCTAAAGTGTTGCTTTCTTAACATTTCCGAAACTGCAAGAGACTGTCGAGGTTGACATTAACAAAGCTTGGAAGCACGGGGGAAATGAGCAACTTCTTGAGCAGGATTGCCGAAAACGGACACCGGCTTAACCACCTCGATGTCCGGGATTACGCCCTCAAAGATGACGAATCAGGATGTCTTTTCAAGTTGCTCCAATACACCACGTCTCCAATTACAATTCAGTTCAATATATCTAATCTAAAACCGAAAGTAGGTATATAATATTTTCCAAAATAATTTATTGTTGTAAAGTAAGTAAAACTACATTAGAATTCACATAACTGGAAAAATAAGCGTTTTACGTGTAAAAAAACTTAACAAGGGAAAAAAGATATGCTGGAGGTTATATTTAGACTGCATTGAATAAACTTTCGACTTAGCTGCGCAGGAACTATCTTTAAAGTAAAATTAGGAGAAATACGGCTATTTACAACGAAAGTATGAGCTTTTAGTCATGAAGGCATTGAAAATCCGAAAGGTCACTTTGGAACCTGACTTAAATTGAGCACCATCGGGATGACGCTTTCAGGGAAAATTTAGCCCCCGCCACATTCCATACTTTGCCATGTTGTAAATTGGCGAATAATCTAGTTAATGGCACAGTTAATAACAAAACGATTACTAAAAAACCTCGCTAGCTTTCAGCCCATGCAATTTAACCAACGGATTTTCCATGAAGAATGGTCGAATTACCTTTCCACTGATGACTTACTTGGCCAAAGGTTGGCTCAAGCACGCAGCGACGAGTGCTTGTAAATTATTTACCCATTCGTTCTACTTTAGACCATTATGCGACTGAACTGCCTGATAAAACGGAAATGGCCAATGGCTCGAGTTCAGGTACCAAATCGGCTCTACGTCGCTCATGATGACCAGGTCGTCGTTGTGATGCACAAAGTACGAATTTTAAAACTTGTGGTAAATTGTTCACCTACTACGGTTTGATTAGCGTTTCAATTTTTAATTTTATTCCTTTTAACATGACAGACGAGTTGTATTTTAGGTCTTTTATTTTGTGCTTTACACTTACACAATTATTCCACCTTTGGATTGCAGGTGGTGATTTTGCATACCTGCTGTTCCTACTCTAATGCATCAGGCCATATTGAAAATCTGATTGGTTAATTTTTAATCGAATAGTTCGAGTTCCTAGGAAATGCTCAAGGCTTGAAAAGTTTAATACCATGAGTGAATTTGCACCTGCAGCGGGGCTGACATTCTGTACGATTAGACGTTTGTTATTGATTTAAATGGCCATCGTTAAGGAAGGTTTTCAGTTTCGCGAGGTAACGCACCCAACCGTGCCACAAAGCGTACCAAGTATAAGCTCTTCAGAATATCGATGGTGTGAAAACTAGAGTTTGTAGAACCTGATTTCAGTAACCTTTCTTATTCCTAACTGAATAGTCCGGGTATACTTTTTTTCTTAAATGGTTGGTGTTTCCACTGAAGCCATCGGCTGAAAGTGTCGAAAACGCCATTGTTCCGGTCTTCCCGGATGTCCAGTTGATGATGGAACTCGAGAAATTCGACGATGCTTTGCTTACGCCCTCGACAAAATTCGTTGAAGCTGACCTCGTAAGCGTCAACGCCATTTACCAATTTAACTTTTACATTTTCCTAGCAAAATCTTCATTATTAAGTTAGCTTAAATCTAGTGATAAAGCAAATCGCCATCCAATATTAGTCTACCGACGTGCTTATTTCCTAACCATGCCCTTAATTTGTACATACGCGACTCTCTAAAAATGATTGTTTATTCATTAACTTTGTTGTTTTAACAAGTGCGTCAGTTGGTGACTGAAATCCTTAACGTTCAGGACATGTTAGCTCTGTTAATGCAAGGACTACTGTTTGTGCATTGGTTGGTAAAGAACTTAAGGCACGAGTCCTGATGGAATTTGTAAAATCTCTTTTCCCAAAGATATACTTTGAAATTTGTTTGTATCTGTTTAGGAATTAACGCGATATGAAACAAAGCTAAGACATTTAATGCCTATGGAGAATGTTGAACAGCTGGAGGCGGCCATCCCAAAAGTACATCAGGCCAATCTTGTTCTCACGGAGTGCTCAAAGCTCCCAACGATGCAAATCGACCTGCTGGAAGCAGCTCTGGACCCTGAGAAGTGTAACCATGCGGTTGACACAGCAGTGGGTGAAATGCAAGAATCTCTTCTGGTAACCTCGCTATTCAATACTTCTTTTACGTCTGAGCCAATCGGAAGATCGACACGCGTTAGAGCAAATCATTACCTTTTATATTTTTTCATTGAAAAATTGCATATTTTATGGCACTTAAACCTAGGACACTATTCTGTAAATATCAGCATTCAACATCATTGGGTAGTTGAAAGCAATGTCTAAATCATATCAGTAAAAAATTTGTTGAAACCAGTATAAAGGGTGTGTGTTGAAGCAGCCTATTTCGATTTGTGTCGAGCTCTGTCACATCTTCTCCAAATGCGTCAAGTTCCACGAGCGATTAAAACATGGCTCATGCCATGTATATATGACCACAAAAAAACATATATGTGTACGGGTTCGTCGAAATTATGCCTGTTAAATAGGGGCTGCAATTTCTATACATCTCAATCTCTCTCTCTCTCTACGTATGTGTGTGTGTGTGGGTGTACCTGTTATATTGTAGAAGTCTTTGGAAGCATCTTACAAGGAGACATGCGACTACTTGAGGGACGTTATTCATAAAAACTACAGACAGTCTCTGGCCTCAGTTATCGAAATGAACTCAGATCTGAATGAAAGCACACGCGAAGACATTTCGTTGATGCTTAATCAGCGCCTAAAATCCGCCATCCGGTCAACGGTAAGCCTCACCTGAATGCAGCCTCATGCACTCTGGAAACATTCAATAAAAAATTGTGCCACTTCCAGATCTTGGAATTGAATGTGAGACTGGCGGAGGAAATGTTGCTCAAGATCACAAAAGACTTGAAAGAAGAAGTCAAAACCTGTCTAGAAGGGTTTCCCAAAAGAAGGGAGTTTATGCCTTATCAAAGAATGGAGAAGTCAGAGAGTGAATATGTGAGCTATATTAACTTTAGAAAGCCAAAATGCGCGATTTCTTGTTTAAATGTGCTGTTATTTCAATTTTCAGGCTAATTACTCTGAAACACCTGACGATTATGCCTCTCCAATACCTGGTCAGTACATTGGGGTCTGATTGCTTTGTAGAAGTGGTCGAGACCAGAAATTAAAAATCTGCATTGAGTTATCCTACCTAATAACTATTCATGCCGTGATTAGGCTCCTTTCGTGTTTCTTACCATTCAAAACTTGGTATAAGATGAGTTAATTCTATTGAGCAATTTGTAAAGCAGACATCTGTCATTAAATCAAGAATTTCAGCGGTCATTGCTGCAGAAGTTATTAACTTGTGACAACGAACCAAGCAAAAAGTTTATTGAATGATGTATTTAGTAATGCACATGTCCTCTTTCTTAACATATAGTTTGGTTTCTCAAAACTCTAAGACACGGAACGTTCATTTTCCATTTAATTAATCTGGTGATACGCACAATTATCATTTAAACAACATGATATTTACTGTAAATGATGATGACATGCTTTTCGAAACCCTGGTTATTCTAGAATAACCAGAGTCATTGCTTGATTTGATTTTACTGAAGCAAGTATTTTCTCTAGCGGCTGAAAATGTGATATTAGTTGGCCTGGTGACTGGTGGATATTGTGGTTGCTGCCAGATTTAATGCCGCCAAGTTACGTGTCGTGCCTTCACTTTAAAACGTTCCATTTTTGTAGCTATGCTAGAGCCTATTCCTCCAGCTAGTTACTCCACGTGAATATTATAAGTTAACACTATACAGATTGATGCACATTTATCAGCAAAATTTGGTTCCATAATTACGAAGAAAAACAAAGGGTATTGCAACCTCGTCACTACTCAAAGCTTAGACGAAAGAGCACAGCTTGCGGGCGTAACTCTTACCGACACATGAAGGGTTTCATTGTAAGTCAAAATTCCTGGTTGTATCAATCACAAAACCGAACATCTCCGAAGCAGTTGATAATGCTGGTCGAGTTAATTGAATTTAGCTCCTACGAAACATTTAATTATTTAAAACCGGGTCATTTTGACAATGAGACTTCTTTCATTGTGTTAAGGATATCAAAAAGCTGTGGCTACTTCCAAGATTCAGGAACCAATTACAGAATCCATTACGGATTCTCGTATTGCATAAATTCATTGACTCAAACATTCAGGTGCTAGCTTAACTTGAAGACGCTGCTTTAAAGATGTTTATTGATATCTTTCTAACAATTTATGAACGAAAAATTGGTTTTAAGTATTATGGTGTTCTCACATAACCTTTTCATTTTCTAAGTAGACCGTAACAGGTGCCAAGGCTAATTTTAACACCGTAGCATAATCAAGTCTCACCTATACAACTGTAGCAGGTTGCATTTAAAAAATTAAACACATAGCTTGAAAGTTAATGGTATGTCAACTATAAATTGCCTTTCTTAAGAACAAAATCCATCTCCCGGCCCTTCTGAGTTGAGCAATCAGAAAACAAGTTTTGGTCGATCGGTGTCAAACCAGGAATGTCATTCCTCATTTAACAGTAAGTAGAGCTTTTCGGTCTGTTTAAATGTTATTTTTCAAATAGAAAATTATTGAGGCTTAGAACTAGGGTTAACTGTATTTTGCCTTGGTTGTAATTTTTAACCTTTGACGGTTTGATTTTGAAGTCATAATCAGGCTGCCTTTAGATATGTGGTGTTCTGGAATTCGGCTGCTTTAAAGGACGTTTGATTCGTAGACAGCGCAGCAGCTTTGGCGTTTTCCGTCTTTTTTGTCTAAGATTTCAAGTATAATGATAGCCAAAAGCTAGCATCAGGATCAAGAGCGTAAACAACATTTAAGCGAATGTCAGTGAACCAATATCACAAACATTCTCTGGAATGACGTTCAGGCAGTCATTGCCTTGACATCATCATCATCATCCCGGTTCGGTGACCCTGTACAAGGTTAGGTGGAATGCTGGGTCAATATGGTAATGTAACAGAGGGATTTGACATCGCATTATGACTTGGAATGCAAAACACCAAGAGGTTTGAGAAGGTGTTCATGTTGATTTGTCACACAATAAGGGTCAAGCAGGTTTGCTCTTCTTAAGTTACCCTCACCTACCCTTAGTTTGGAATATTTACGTTCATTTTGGGCTTATTGTCCTAAAGGCCACACAGACGTGTTTCCCACAACAACGTTTTTTTTTGAAAAAAATCAGGAATTTAAATTCAACCTGTCTAGTACTGAACCACTTGGAGGCAATGAAATTTTTACACAAATTCCATCGCAGATAATTCTACCATCTTCGACATAATTGTCATTGGCAGATGTAACCAATTTAAGCGCTTTATTCCTTTTTTCAAAGCTAAATTTAGCGCAGATTTGACATTCCCTACTTTGAAATTGCGAAAGGACTTATCTTGTGTTTCAAAACGTTGCAGCACTCGCTCAGGAACAGCCAAGTACAGCACTTAAGCGTGCGACCGTTTACTTAGACAAAGTACTTGTGAGAGATGACTACGATCAACCCGGCAAGTGAAATTACTTCTGTATTTGCTTGATTGGTTTTTCTCGGAAAATCAATCTTTATCCCTGTGGCGCATTCCTTAAATGACACTTTATTCTAATTGTTAAGAGTGCGTGAATTTAATACTAATGTATGTAGTTTTGGTCTGTGCCTGAAGTTTGAGGCGGCATTAGATAATCCCTCACAAGCTAAATTTTTTTGCGTGCTAGTAAATTAAGCCACCATTGACTTTCCATCATGTAAGAATTGAAACCACCTCCTACCAACCAACCACAATCGGTAATTCTCTGCTGCATCAACCAGTAAATTCGCTAGGAAACTGACTTTAGCTAACTCCTTTTCGATTACTCTCATCGATGTTGTTGAACACCCACTTTCACTTAATGTTTGGTGTCCAAAGACCACTTCGACGAATTTCTCACAAAACGTTTTTTTTAATAATCAACTTGTCTAGTGCCCAACTGCTTGAAGGCAGTTCCACAAGGTGACGTGGCACTTGCTTATTGGGGGCAACCTCAAAGTTACAGGAAACCATGATGATTATATTGTCAACATACAAACTGTAAATCCGGGGTTCGAACTAATTGTTAAATTTCAAAAAATGACTGACTGTTTCCATCAAAATTTCTACTGATCTCCAGTGCATAAGGTATTTAAAATGTGGCTTGGGTTTAGCCGGATTTTTTTTATGACGAGGCTTTATAACTGTCGTCTTTTTATATTTTTTAGTATGCACACAACCACCCAATGAGTCTACTGTTAAGAACCTCAGTGCAAGTGCGCCCTTTACTTGGCGTAACTCCTTTATTTGAATTAAACCAATTGTGTTTGTTTAAGTAACCAGTGGTAGAAATCTCACGTAATTGTCTTTTAAGGAGCTATACAAGCTGTGCCTAGTAATTGATCACTCGGTTGTTTAAATTCAAATTTACATAACCCAATCAGACCCCTTTTATCATTTTGTTAAATTATTAGGCAGCCAGTATCAGTATTGATAATTGCAGCTGTATTACTTAGTCTAACGAAATTTGCTAAAAAAATTGATTATCAGCAACGAGGCCACATGAAAATGGGAAATTTTTTTTATCAATTGAACGAACTTTGCTAGATCAGAACGAGTCTGCGTAGCCGTACAGTCTGTCAAAACCCTTCGCTTTGAATTACGTTTAATAAGAGACACTACTTTCCTAAGTCATTCAGACTTTGACTTCCACTGATAATGAACTTGGTGTTTCAGCAGAAAGTCACTTTAAGTAATTATGCCACCTAAAGCATTATTGTGGGTGGTAAAATCCTCAAACTAGGCGTAAAACTAAGAACTTTAGGCCTTAGTAATTAGGCCCTGTCGACTACTGAAAACAATCTTGTTTTTGCATTAGAACATCGAAAATTCCACGTCCCCTATTTCACTGATACTTCAAAGTATTTGTTCATAGATAATGTGACTTGAAATTAAGCGCCATGACAATAAGTGCTTATAAAACTAAACTAAACGAGCATTTTTTGCGATATAAGAAAAATGATCACTGAAGATGTTCAGAGGAAACTTGGGATTGCAGGATGTAGTAATTCTGATGAAGAATTGCAAAAAGAGGTTGCCCTATGTGAATTATTAATTCGCTTTGAATGCAGGAAGCTAATTTAAATGTTTGCTCTTAAGGGCATAAAAGGGGCGGCGGTCTAAGTAACTCCCGCAAATGTTAGATGAAAACTCATTCAGAGACCTACATTAAAAGAAACATGGCACTGTCTTTGCAACCTTTTCCTATCCTCGTTTAAGGTTTGTGTGCATTTCATTGAGCAAATTATACTGTAACTGAGACATAACCCGAAGTTATTAACCACCTTTTTAGATGAAGAAACGGTTAGCAAAATTCTGACACACGCAGGTTTGAGCCGTCCTCAAAGAGTTAGGAATCACAAGCCCATGACTGTTATTGGCCTCGATGATTCAAAGGTACTCCGAGGACCTGTTTCTACTGAAGGTCTTTATACTAGCCCTATGCCCTCGTCCGATGCTGTGGACATGGAGAATCCCGCGTAAGTGAATAGAAAATAGGCCCGATCAGAGTTATCATTTAGTGGATTAGGATATGATCAAGTGTCTACGACAACATATGAATAGCCAGATTGATTAAATAAATCAGGCATTTATAATTCCACAGATTTGGCTGAAACTGGCACCGTTTCTTGCAGAATTCAGGCTAATAAATATGAAGCAGAGGGGAAGCCAGCAGCACCGAAGAAACGAACACCCCCGGTCCCCGCCCGTCCCACAATCCCAGGAATGACGCCAAATTTCACAAAGGAAATTTTAAGAAAAAGGGAAGCTGGTTTGCAAAAAACTAGCCCACCAGATGCTCAGCGTAGGTTGCCAAATAGTGTACTTTTTGTGGATTCACTACTCACCATGAGTTTCTTGCGTCATTCGGCGGAGGTTTTAGAACGTTGAACAGCCGGTTGAGAGAATAGTTCCATATTTGCAAAAAAATGCATGACTTCGCTTAGAATGAGTTTTAACAAGTGGTCCTACTTGTGCCGCTTTTGTCTTATTCCAGGTTGTAGAATTAGTGGGTAACCTGAAATAATGAAGCACGCTGATGTTTTCTAAATTGAACTGATGAATGGCGAACCAGAAACGTTTCCCGATAGGTCATCGTCTGGACGCAAGACCACTCCTGTGAATCACGAACAGTAGTTTACAACCCCTAGTAGATGTCACTCTTCCGGTCTCTGGCACAAACTAACAATGACTCAGCAAGTGCACTTCAACTTGTGGCAATAGTAATAATCAAATTAGAACTTGTGTCTAGTATTTAAATTAATAAAGGCTAGTTCCAGCAAATCAATGACACTTATGTAGAACATTGAAGATGACAAATAAAATCCCTGAAAATCCTCATTTCATAACTTCTTTTTTTTTAAATTTCAGCTCAAAGGCCTGCTGAAAGCATTATAATTGGCGAAAATGAGGCTAATAACATAGCCCAACTGCGAAAATTCTTCGACTTACAACAGCAAAACAGGGGTCCGACCCAATCATCATTGCCTGCAAAACAGAGAGAATCAGGATGTGGGAAAGGCAAATGCGATAGTTCTATTTCAACACCCATTGATAAAAGCATGCATAAATCTTATGGTGAAAACGATCACAATTTAACCTTACCAATGAAAAACTAGCGTAAAGCCACATCTTTAACGTAGATACTGTTTGTAACGTATGTAAGCGTCGAGTATCGGGCTAATCCCAAATTCTTACCGTGCATTGTATTTGCAACGAGGGAAAGAATGAGGTGGGTACCTTGAAACATCTCAAAAAATGCACGCGCCAAAGCGCGGCGAACCATGGGAGCGAATGTCAACCAAGTAGACGTGTTCTCCAGAGGCCAAACAGCCTATGAATTTGAGGCTCCCTGTTTTTCTTAAATCTGAGGAAATTAATTTCGGAAAATTGAGTCAAGCTTAATGTTCTTGACTGATTTTACATTAACTAGATTACCCAAGGATTTTTGAATAGAGCGAAGACTACCGGTGTAGTAGACAACAAAAGGTGGATTTTACTAGAAGCTGGATTACAGTTTCTTCCTGTTTTAGGATCTGGTGGAAAGCCGTGAGAATAAGGGATCGTCTTTTGCCCTAATGATTTTACTACACTTCAAATAACCGTTTTATTGTTCAAACAAGCGTGTTATTTCCTAGCAGTTTATTGTTTCTTACATAACTGCACCACAAATACAACACGCAAGATGGACTTCGGCGGTATTAATTACGTACACAACGGGGTAGTGTATTCAATCAAATGAAAGGTCAAGACGGTAGACAATAATTCGTCCGAAGAAATCGGTAGCCTTTCGAAACAAAAGACAGGCATTTGTGTATGCATTTTCATCAGTAAAGACAAATGACTGAAGACTGCTGACATTGGCGGGGAATATAGGATAGGCCGTTTTGTTGTCCTTCGTTTCTTTGGTCCACAACTGGAGCACAGCCTCCTCGGCGGCGAAGCCACCGTGAAATTGAATTCTGACGGCCGTCAGTTTTACCGGTTTCTTGAAATCCACCATAATCCATTGCGGAGTACCCGAGTCGGAGTTCCAACAAGTATCGGGCCTCCCGTCAAACAGATGAATCTTCCCGTATTGCTGTGAATCGCGGTTTAATACTGAGCTAACTGCCACGCGTTCAATGTAATCAGGCAAGGCCATTTCCAATCTGAAAGTGTGGGTAGACAACGATGCCGGATAAATGATAAACCCCGGAGTTTACGAAATAGCGAGTTAGGACAACTAGAAAGAAATTAGGCATAACTTCATGTGGGAGGGAGAAAGCGCAAGCTAAACCATGGTTGGTATGACAAGCGGGTGTTACTGAGTCAATAAGCGGAGGTGCGAATTATATGGGGCAAAAAATGTTTACAGACAAGTAATTTGCACCGTGATATCAACGTCAGACACTGGTGAAGTTAGAAGCAATAAAGGGTATCGTATAAAAAACACAAGGGTCTGAGAGAACTAACAACATCAAGAAGGCCCAATAATTGGTAGCATTTCTGGCAGCAATTACGTTCAATCAAGTCAAGATGCACATTCGAGGGCGCACCAAATATGAAATCGCTACCGGATACAAAATACTTAAGTCGAGACGTCTCCTCAAGTCTTAATCATAGAGAATTTTCGTGCACTTTTTTATATCTTTAACTTGCACGGGTTCGCATCAGCGTTCCACAATCTCAGTGAAGCGAGCTACCCCCATTGTAAGAGATTTTAATCGGAATTTTACAACTTGTTCGCAAAAGATTTTAAAAAAATCAAATAACTATGTTCGCTTTACATCAAAGTCCTTTTCATTATTAAATAAACTGCGACAGTTAAGGTACATGAATGCACATCCATAGTGAACGAACCTGTTGCGGTCCCCAATCCTTGCAAAAAATAAAACGAAAACACAATTGCTCTAATTATAGAGTAAAGTAAATTTGTAGCGCAGTAAAGGTAATGTTGGCACGCGGTGAAAGAAATGAGCATTGCAGTGGTGCTGTGACGTCGGATCGGGGCGCAGACATATTGGACCACCTGGCCGTAGCCAATCCTGCGTCTCTCTGCGATCTAATGGCATGCAGGAAAGGAAGGCAGCCAACCAGAGAAGGACATGGATGAGATGCTGTATATAATGAGCGGCGTGGCCAGCGTGGAGGACTAGGATGGAAGGCGCCTGACGCGTGGCTCTGGCTTCTGATTGGTCAATAAAGCCTGTTCTGTTGTACCAGTCTTTTTCCTATTAGGGCTCGGGTATTCTACATTGGTGGCAGCGGATGCGTTCGAATAACGCGAATCGAACCCCAGCCCTTTCTCTGCTATGGTCAACAGAGGTGAAGACCCTTGAATGCCAGCTGAAATTGTCATGGCGTTCATCCGATGTCCAAAAAATTGGATCCATAGACATTGCCCGGGATTAGGAACACTGCATCTGAAGAAGCATTGGCAACTCAGCGACGACGACTTGGACAGTGAAAGCCAGCTGGACTGCATCTGCGAATGGACCTTCGATGGATGATGAGTCGTTCCTGCAAGTCTACAAGAGCAAATTCCATAGTCAACTATTCGCATGGGCCACTATCCTGCCAGATGTGGGGTGCGGGAAGTGTCGAACTGTATATTTTACCAACACTGGATATCAACAACAGTGCAAGGAACCAAGCCAGAAGCTGAGGACAGCTTCACTGCTGAGGGGGA